CGATCCTTGCTCCCTCGTATTGTCACTCTGATACTGTCCCCTCCCGCAGTGAATAGGGCTCACCTGTGACCCCAGTAGGACACTGAAGAAATGATAGTCTGTGACCTGAGTCTTGAACATGAAAGACATTGTAATTTCTGCCTTGCTTTCTCTGGGATGACTCATACTGCGGAAAGCCAGCTGCCATGTCACTGAGGTTACTCAAACAGCCTTATGGACGACCCCTGTGGTGAGAAACTGAGGCTTTTCCCCAACAGTGACACTCAGCCCCCAATCATGCAAGTGAGCCACCTTGAAGTGGAACCTCCAGCACCAATAAAAACTTCAAATTTCTGCACCGATAGTCAATCTGTTTATATATATATATATATTTTAATTGATTTTTTACAGAGAGGAAGGGAGAGAGAGAGCTAGAAACATCGATGAGAGAGAGTCATTGATCAGCTGCCTCTTGCACACCCCCTACTGGGGATATGCCCACAACCAAGGTACATGCCCTTGACCGGAATCAAACCCGGGACCCATCAGTCCCCAAGCCGACGCTCTATCCATTGAGCCAAACCAGGTTCGGCCAATAGTCAATCTCTTAACCTCAGCCTCATGAGAAACCAGAGCCACCCAACTAAGCTGCTCTTGAATTTTTGACCCAAAGAAACTATATGAGATGATGTTTCTCAGTTATTTTAAAAAAAAAATCAAGGGCATACAAGGCAGGCCATGACCAGATCATAGAGATTTTTAAATCTTCTGGCTTAGATTTTATCCTGCTAACCAGTATTTTTTAAATTGTGCTCCACAGTGCCCCTAAATGAAATCAGATAGGGTAAGGGAAGGGAGTCCTTAATGGGTTGGCCTCACCTCCTCCCAACAGAGAGCAGCTTCCCGATTTATACTTTTGGGTAAGAATTTAATTTTAAGAAAGGATTCACTGTCTAAAAATGTTTGAAAGGCACTGCTATAGGTCATGAAGAATCACTGAAAGATTTGAAGCAGGAGATTGAAATAATGTGCATTTGAGATCATTCAGGCAGAAGGACAGTAAAAGTTAAGGCCAAAGACCAGCGAAAAGGCCACTTCAACAGCCCAAGCAAGTGAAATTGGGTACCACAATGAAGGCAGGGTAGCAGGGCCAAACATGAGGAGGCACCCACAAGAGAGATTATAAGGTAGAACAGATAGTACATGGTGAGCGGATGTGTGCAGGGGATTGTGGGGGCAGGAATGGATGAGAGAAAGAGGACAGGCACCCAGATTTCTGCCTTGGGCCACTGCATGAATGGTGGCATCAGCATAGGAAGGGGGGGGGGGGAGAAGAAATTGTGTTTGTCTGATAGTTACAGAGACCTGACTGCAGTGGCTTCAACACAAGAGTTTGTTCTCATGTAAAACAAGCCTAGAGGAAGGCTCCTGGCAGTGGTTGAGCCCCAAGAATAGCATGGCAAGAGCTGTGCAATTCCTGTGGCCTTTCTTTCCCAGTCCCAGGGCGGCTGTTGGTGCTCCAATTATCAAGTCCATTTTCCAAAACAGCAAGAAGAAATAAGAGAAGAAAAGTTATTCCTTGGAAGCCCCACCCAACAATTTCTTTTCTTCTCTTTTTTTTTTTAAATATATTTTTTATTGATTTTTTACAGAGAGGAGGAGAGAGGGATAGAGAGCTAGAAACGTCGATGAGAGAGAAACATCGACCAGCTGCCTTTTGCACACCCCCTACCGGGGATGTGCCCACAACCAATGTACATGCCCTTGTCCGGAATCGAACCCGGGACCTTTCAGTCCGCAGACCGACGCTCTACCACTGAGCCAAACCGGTTTCGGCCACCCAACAATTTCTACTTCCACCCTTTTTACTTGGCAAAAGCTAAGTCACATTCAGAATATTAGAGGTGTTTTTTTTGTTTGTTTTGTTTTGTGGGGAGAGGCTGGAATATGTACTACAATAACTTTATAGACTCTAGTATTTAGGCTGGTATGAGAGCAGATTTGGAGTGCTGCTGATTGAACCAATCTGCAATATCTTCCACATTAGAGAAATAATGAGTTTGGATCTGAGGTAGAACATCAGGTGAGGAGGCAGAGTAGGCAGATATACAGTTCTAGGCGCAGGAGAAAAATGTAGGCAAATCTAGATTTTGTGAGTCCTCGGCATGTAAATGTAACTGATACCACAAAAGATGGTGAGAATGTCCAAGGACAGTATAAAGAGGGGGGAAAAAATCAAGGTCAGAGCCCAAGGGAAGACCAACATTTAAGGGCAGGAAGAAGAATACAGAAGACCTATAAAGCCAAAGAAGTAGAAGAACCACCACCAGAGCAATTTCACAGCACTCAAGGAAGGAGTCAGCATCAAGGAGGCACAAGGAACAAAGATAGAGACAGAAACTCACCCACTGATTTGTAACTGGGCGAGTGCTAGATAAGGGAAAGAGAGGACTAGGGAACAATGTTAAAGGAGTCCAGCCAGTATGGCTCAGTGGTTGAACACTGACCTATGAACCAGGAGGTCACAGTTCAATTCCTGGTCCAGGTTGCAAGCTCCAACCTCAATGGGAGGTGTGCAAGAGGCAGTTGATCAATGATTCTCTCTCATCATTGATGTTTCTTTTTTTTAATTTTTTTTATTTTAAGATATTGGTTTTTTGGTTTTTTTTTAAATATATTTTATTGATTTTGTACAGAGAGGAAGGGAGAGAGATAGAGAGTTAGAAACATCGATGAGAGAGAGTCATCGATCAGTTGCCTCTTGCACACCCCCTACTGGGGATATGCCCGCAACCAAGGTACATGCCCTTGACCGGAATCGAACCCGGGTCCCTTCAGTCCCCAAGCCGACGCTCTATCCATTGAGCTAAACCGGTCCCGGCTCATCATTGATGTTTCTCTCTCTCTCCCCGACCCCCTTCCTTTCTGAAATAAATTTAAAAATATATTTTTTTAAAAACCTCAAATTGTGGCCTTATCTGAAAAGAGGGTTGTTGCAGATATAATTATTTAAGATGAGGTCATGTAGATGAGTAGAATGTGCCCTTAATCCAATGTGATTGGTGTCTTTATAAGAGAAGAAACATAGGGACAGGGGCACACAAAAAAAGCCATATGATGCAGACAGATATGAGAGTGATGCATTTACAAGCCAAGAAATGAGAAGCACGGCTAGCAAACACTAGAAGCTAGAAAGGGACAAGGAAGGATCCTCCCCTAGAACCTTCTGAGAGAGCATGGCTCTGCTGACACCTTAATTTTAGACTTCTAACTTCCAGAGCTGTGAGAAAATTCATTTCTGTGGTTTTAAGCTATCCAGTTTAGCACATTTATATACTAGGATATCCCGGGCTTCTAGGTCAGCACATGGCACATAGTAGAAGATCAATAAATGAAATATTTGCTGAATGAAATGACGGACTTTTTAATTCACTAGGATTGACCTCTCAGTGGCATCGGGCACCTGTTGATGATCACCCTCTCTCCCCACACACACTTCTTGAAACTCTGTCCTCTCCTGTTTTCCACATCATCAAGTTCTTCTGGCTATGTTCCAATTATGATGTCTGCTTTTTAAATGTCAATGTTTCCCCGGATTGTATCTTCAGTCCTCTCTTCTTCTTGCTCCACAACCTTTCTATGTAATTTTATCCCTTCCCAAGTTTCAATTCCCCATATATGTCAAGCACTCCCAAAATTAAAACAGATCTAACCATGTCACCGCTCTGCTTAAAAAAGGAGATGGTGTTCAGCTGCCATGGCTCAGTGATTGAGCGTTAATCTATGAACCAGGAGGTCAGGGCCATGCCCGGGTTACAGGCTCGGTCCCCAGTAGAGGGTGTGCAGGAGGCAACCAATCAATGATTCTCGCTCATCATTGTTGCTTCTGTCTCTCTCTCTCCTTCTTCCTACCTCTCTGAAATCAATACAAATATATATTTCAATAAAATAAAAGATAAAAAAGGAGATGGTTATTGCCTGCAGATAAGACCCAAACTTGTCTGCTTCAGCATTTTATTGTCCTCACCCCAGGAGGCATGAACCTCTTCTTCCTGTAGCTCTTCCTGGGCTCTAGATACAAAGGACTACCGTATTTTTCGGACCATAAGACGCACTTTTTTCCCCCAGAAGTGGGAGGAAAAAGTCCCTGCGTCTTATGGTCCAAATATAGCCTCCACATATACTTTAAAAAAAAGATTTTTTACTTGCCCGGCTCTGTGTGGTCTCTGTGTGCTTGCCCGGCTCTAAAATGGTTCTAAATGCTGCTGTTTACTTTACAGGGTTGATTACATGTGTTTATGACTGTGATGTTGGGTTTTAATGCACATAAAATATTTTAGGACACTATTTGTTTCAGAATCTTTTTTTCTTCATTTCCCTTCTCTAAAAACTGGTGCGTCTTATGGTCTGAAAAATACGGTACTCAGATTTCCCCAGGACACATACCTGATGCTTTTAATGCTTTCACATTCCCTCCATTTGAAATGTTCCTCATTTACCTCATTTACTTTGTAAAATCCTAGTTCAAGGCCAAACACAAATGCCACCATCTATTTCTGCCTTTCCTGACCACTATTCAGGCAGGATGAGCCACTCCTATATGTCTTCCTGTAGCCTTTTGTTCACCATACCAGTATTTATCCCATCACAATAGGTAGTCTGTTTCCTCGCTGAGCCACAAGCTCTTTAATGGTTAGGATGGTACTTGATTAATCCTCATAGATGCAGTCCCTAGATCAGTGCCTACATATAGTATGCTCCAAGAGATTACAGGTTAAATGAACTCACTCTACTTTAAAAAAAAAAATTACAGCTCTCAAATGGCAAAAGGATCACATCTCAGCACCAGTTCAACAAAACACAATAGAGCTACTGCTGCATTAACAGAAATTGGAGATCTACCACAAACATCAATTATTGGGCCCAAAAGACCTGTTCAACGCTAGACAGAGTATTTATAGTCCTCAGACTATACCCCAACACAATAAGGAAATCCTAGACAGAGAACATCGACCTCTTACCTGCGAAGATACATCGTTTCCTCGTCTTCTGTGTTACAGAACTTGTGCGCATGTTTGGCAGCATCAATCACACGGGACCTATCCCGGGGCCTCATAGGCAATTTCTCCAGCTGACAGTCTGAAGGAATGAAGGAAGATTTGGTCACTAGAGTCACTGGAAAACACCCCAAGGCAATCAGAAGTTTTCAGTGTAATTTTTACTCAATTACTATGCTTATTGAAGCCTATTATTGAATTTTCCAACTAAAAATGACTTGGTATCAGGACACCTAGATTCAGTCCCAGTGCTGTTACTACCCTGGTGATCTTTGGCAGGTCACTTCTTTTTGTGGTCTTTTACTTTATTTGAAGGATGAATAGATTGCATTATCCCCAAAGTCTTTCCCAGCACTACAATTCAAGTTTCCTGATATTTCTGTGATTCAAGCATCATGGTACAGTTAGTTTGTATCACAATGCAATAGAAATAATCAAGCATACTCAATGCCTATGAGGAAAGCATTGAGAAAAGTGGATAAGTGCTTAGAAAAGGACAGTGAGGGTAGGTGGTATGCTATACATACTACCGTGTTTCCCCGAAAATAGGACATCCTCAGAAAATAAGACCTAGCGCCTGGAAAGATAAGACATCCCCTGAAAATAAGACCTAGCGCAACTTTGGAAGAAAAAATTAATATAAGACACTGTCTTATTTTCAGGAAAACAGGGTATGTAGATGACCCATCCCAGTTAGGGAAGTTTTAATACAAAAACACATGGTAAATAAATTATGTGCAATTATAAAGCAGGTGGAAAATTGATATAATGCCAATTAAGTACCTAAAGGATCACAGAGAAGTCAAGTGATCAGAGGGAATTGAGATTAACAGAGGAGAAAGAGGGGGTAGTTAGAGATCACCAGGTATTTTGCACAATAGCTGGTTGCTATTCACATTGACCTGTTAGAGTAGATATTTACTATTCCTAGTTTAAAGATGAGGAACTTGACCTGGCCAGTGTTGCTCAATGGTTGAGTGTTGACCTATGAACCAGGAGGTCATCATTCTATTCCCAGTCGGGGCACATGGCTGGGGTTACAGGCTCTACCACCAATAGGGACCGTGCAGGAGGCAGCTCATCTCTCTCATCACTAATGTTTCCATCTCTCTCCCTCTCCCTTCCTCTCTGAAATCAATTAAAATGTATTTTAAAAAAAATAGAAATGAGGGACTTGAGGTTTAGAAAGGTAAGATATGCCACACATTTAATAAGAAGCAGAACAAAAATTCAGACCCAACTCTAGGTGATCAAAAGAGAATTCATTTATTCAATAAATATGTGAGATTCCTCCATATATACTCAGGCACAATTCCAACAATGTGCTGGGGATTCAGTAAAGAGCAAAGCAAAGTGCCTGACCTGATTAATTTAGTCTAGTCGAGGAGGCAGAAAATTTTTTTTAAATATATTTTATTGATATTTTACAGAGAGGAAGGGAGAGAGAGAGAGCCAGAAACGTCAATGAGAGAGAAACATCGATCAGCTGCCTCCTGCACATTCCCACTGGGGATGTGCCCTCAACCAACGTACATGCCCCTGACCAGAATCGAACCTGGGACCCTTCAGTCCGCAAACCGACGCTCTACCACTGAGCCAAACCGGTTTCGGCAAGGAGGCAGAAAATTTAAAAATAATAATTATATAATGTGATCTTGGAGAATAAGTGCTAATAAAAAATTTAGACAGAATATTAAGAGGAAGAACAGTGATCTCAGAAAGTATTAAGTGCTACCAAGAAAAATGAGGCAGGGTAAGAGGACAGAGAGTGACAGGAGTGCTATTTTACATAAGGTAGCCAGAGAAAAGCTTTCTAAGAAAGTGACATTTTAGCAGAGACCTGAATAAAGTAAGGAAGCACTGGGGGAAGAGTGGAGGAGACAGACTAATTACAAATCTCCAAGTCCCTGCCTGGGGGCAGAAACATTTTGACATGAAGCAGAAGCATCACTGTGGCTGGAGAGCAGAGAGGAAGGGGAGGAATGTTATGAGATAAAATCTGAGAGGTAGCTGTGTGTCTGAGCGCACATGGCCTTTGAATGGACTTTGGTTTTACTCTCAGTGTTATAGGGAAACACTGGTTTGAAACAGGACTCTGGCTGCTGTGTAGAAAATACACCACTGGGGACAAAGTAGAGAGCAAGAGACTAATGTAGCAATCCAGGTGAGGGATGATGGTAGCTTGGACTTCAGTGTAGAAGTGGAGGTGATAAGAAGTAGTCCTATTCTAGATAGCTTTTCTAGGAGGCACCTGCCAAATTTGTTGATGAACTGGGTGGGTGTAAGGTGAAGAAAGGGAGAATTGGGCCGGGACCAGTTTGGCTCAGTGGATAGAGCGTCGGCCTGTGGACTGAAAGGTCCCGGGTTCGATTCCGGTCAAGGGCATGTACCTTGGTTGCGGGCACATCCCCAGTAGGGGGTGTGCAAGAGGCAGATGATCAATGATTCTCTCTCATCGATGTTTCTAACTCTCTATCCTTCTCTCTTCCTCTCCGTGAAAAATCAATAAAATAGGTTAAGGAAAAAAAAAAAAAAAAGAAAAAAAGAAAGGAAGAATTGGGCTCTCTACTCCTCCTGTTCATCAGACAGCCGTGCCCTCCTGCACAGCACAACCCTGAAACATGATGGTGGAGGTCAGAATGAACAGATTTGGCCGTATTGGGTACCTGTCACAAGGGCTGTTTTTAACTCTGGCAAAGTGGATATTGTCACCATCAATGACATCTTCATTGACCTCAACTACATGGTCTATGTGCTCCTAATTCTATTCATGGCAAGTTCAAAGGCACAGTCAAGGCTGAGAATGGGAAGCCCCTCTCCATCTTCTAGGGGCAATATGCTGCCAACATCAAAAGGGGTGATGCTAGGATCGGTGCCCTCTGCTCTTTCTTCCACCCACTGCAGGGACTCCCTTCCAGGTGCTCCGCTCAGAAATAAGAAGGTGACTTGCATCCTAATGGGCAACAGACACAGGCCAGCGGATATGGAGACTGCCCCGAGCCAGCTCCTTCTGCCTCATCTGATTTGAAGCCGGCTCAGGGACAGTCTCCATACTCGCCCCCTAATGTGTCAGTTGTGGATCTGACCTGCCATCTAGAAAAAGCTGCCAAATATAATATAAAAAAGGTAGTGAAGCAAGCAGCAGAGGGCCCCTCAAGGGCATCATGGGCTATACTGAGGACCAGGTTATCTGTCTCCTGCGACTTTAATAGTGACACCCACTCCTCCATCTTCGATGCTGGCGCTGCATTGCCCTCAATGACCACTTTGTCAAGCTTGTTTCCTGGTATGACAATGAATTTGGCTACAGCAACAGAATGCTGGACCTTATGGTCCACATGGCCTACAAGCAGTAAGAGCCCCCTGGACCACCAGCTCCAGTGAAAGGAAGAGAGGCCCTCAGCTACTGGGGAGTTCTCGCCCCAAATCAATCCCCCAAAATATTGAAAATCTCCTGATCTCCACAGTCTTTATCCCAGACCCCATGAAGAAAGGGCGGGGCTTAGGGAGCCCTACCTTGTCATGCATCAATAAAGTTCACTGTACTCAGCTGAGAAAGAGGGAGAAAGGAAGGGAGGGAGGGAGAGAGGGAGGGAGAGAGGGAGAAAGGGAGGGAGGGAGGGAGGGAGAGATTGAGATTTCAAGAATGAGTCTGAGCCCTATCCAGGTGTCTCAGTTGGTTGGAACATGGTCCTGTACACCAAAAGGTTTCGGGTTTGATCCCCAGTCAGGGCATGTATGGGAGGCACCCGATCGATGGTTTTTTTCTCTCTCTCTTTCTCTCTCTCTCTTTCTCTCTCTCTCTTTCCCCTCCCTCCTGCCCCCTCCTCCCCCTTCTTTCTCTCTCTCTAAAAATCAATGAAAACATATCCTCAGAGCCCCAGCCAATTTGGCTCAGTGGATCGAGTATCGACCCACAGACGGAAGGGTCCCTTGTTCAATTCCGGTCAAGGGCACATACCTTGGCTGCAGGTTCAATCCCTGACCCTGGTCAGGGTACATGTGGGAGGCAACCAATCTCAGTGTCTCTCTCACATGGATGTTTCTTTCTGTCTCTCCCCCTCTCTTCCACTCACTCTAAAATCAATGGAGGAGGGGAACAGTGAAGAGCAAGGAGTAGGGCATCATGAAATCAATGATATCTTTGAGAGGCTCTTTAGACATCCAAATAGAGACATGGAATTGGCAGGTGGAGTTTGAGAAGTGCAGGTTAAAGATGAACATTTGGGAGTCATAAGAGTATGGTATTCAAAGCTTGGGAATGGTTGAGATCACTTAAGGAGTGATTACAGGTTGAGAACAGGTCAGGGAACTGAGCCCCAGGGCCTTGCAAGGCCAAAGTATGAGACAGAAAAGGGAACCAGACACTCAAAGGAGGAAAAAAATCGAGATAGGAGGAAAATCAGAAGAGTGTAGAGTCTTGGGAGCAAATAAAGTGTTCCTAGAAGGATGGAGTGCTCGGATCTGTCAAATGGTGCTGAGAGGACTAAAGTGACCATTGATTGACCACTGGAACTGATAATATGTTCAGTTATTAACTTTGATATATATGGCTTAGATGGTGAGGTGGGAGGGAAAGCCTGTCTGAAGTGAGGTCAAGTGGGAAGTGAGGTTGCAGAAACAGCCAATATAGGCAACTCTTTTGAGAAGTTTTGCCATTTTAAAAAAGCAAAGAAATAGGGTGATAGCTGGAGGAGAATGTCAGATCACGGAAGGGTTGTTTTCATTTCGTATAAGAGCTATTTCTGCATCCGGAGGCGAAGTCAGAGGAGGGGAAGATACAATGTGTCGTTTTTCTGAAGGAGTAATTAGTTTTCGCGGATGTTTGGATGCAAAGTCAGAAACGCCGCCTTCCGAGGCGGGGATCTGTAGGGAGGATTTTGATGCAGAGGGAAAGCCTCTCAATCTTCAAATAGACGGCTCCCAGATCACAACAGGAAGAAAAATCACACTTCAGAACCGTAAGTTTTGCTCCTTAAAGCGCCTCCACCCCCCGCGCTCCACTTCCCCACTCACCCAGCACCAGAACCATCTGGCCACACAGACAGTAGTACACATGGAGGGGCTTCTCGCCGTCGTCATACTCCTCCCGGTCCCGGGTGTCGGAGCAGACAACAGATCTGGACACAACTTTAGGCATAGTTTAGAGAAATAGGGAAACGCAGCGCCGAAAAACAAGAGTCGCGCATAAATTACGTCAGAGACGCGCGCGTTGAGCCTTTCCCGGGCAGTCACACTAATCACGTGTCAGCAGCAGTCATGTGAACTTCCGGGTTGTCTCATTAGGCTAAGATGCTGGGGGGAGTGGAGAGAGGAGTCGTCCAGAGTCGCCCGGAACCTCCTTTGCCTTGCCTCTTAGCTGGGCTGCTTTGCTTGGGACACCCTTATTATTATTTAAATTATTTAGTTATATTTCTATACATGTATGTATATGTATATGCATGTACATGTATATATAAAACGAAGGACTATATTTACACAATATGCATAATACAGATTTTAGGTGTGCCTCTGATTTTTTTTCTTTGATTTTTTTTTTCATCTTTATTATTGAAAGTATTACATCCTCCTTTTCTGCCCATTAACCTCTTCCAACCCGCTCCCGACTGTGCCTCTATAATTTTAATGGCTATATTCAGGATTAGTACCTAACAAAGTAGAGATTTTTTAAAGCTGAGATGTAATTCACATAACATAAAATCGCCCTTTTAAGCGGAAACCGGTTTGGCTCAATGGTAGAGCGTCAGTCTGTGGACTGAAAGGTCCCAGGTTCGATTCTGGTCAGGGGCATGTACATTGGTTGTGGGCACATCCCCGGTAGGGGGTGTGCCAGAGGCAGCTGGTCAATGTTTCTCTCTCGTTGACATTTCTAGCTCTCTTTCCTCCTCTCTATAAAAAATCAATAAAATGTATTTTTTTAAAATCGCCCTTTTAAAATGTTTAATTCAGTAGTTTTTAAATATATTCACACAGTTATACAACCACCACCACTATCTAACTTCAAAAAATTTTCATCATCCCAAAAAGAAATCCTGTGTGGTTAGCAGTCACTCCCCACCTCTTTCCCAGCCCCTGGCAATCCCTAATTTACTTTCTGTCTCTATGGATTTGCCTCTTCTGGACATTTCATATGAATCAAATAATACAATATGTGGTAGTTGGTGACTGGCTTCTTACACTTAATGTTTTCAAGGTCCATGTTGTAGTGCGGATTAGTAAAAAGTAGTAATGAATCAGTAAAAAGGAACTTCATTTCTTTTTATAGCTACATAATATTTTCTTGTATGAATATAGTATATTTTGATTATTCATTCATCAGATATGAATATTTGTGTGGTTTCTGCTTTTTGGAGATAATGACTAATGCTATATGAACATTGGTGTACAAAGTTTTTGTGAGGACACGTTTTTAGTTCTCTTTGGTGTATAATTAGGAGTGGATTTGCTGGATCATATAGTAACTTGATGTTTAACCTTCTGAGGAACTGCCAAGAGGGTTTTCCAAAGTGCCTCTACCATTCCCATCAGGAATTCGATGGGGGAGAGGCTTCTGATTTCTTCATGTCCTCACCAATGATTCCTTTTGCCTGTCTTTTTTATCATGGCTATCCTGATGGGTGTGAAGTGGTATCTCATTGTGGTTTTGATTTCCCTTTCCCTGATGGCTAATGATATTGAGTACCTTTTTACATGTATTGGTCATTTATTGGAGAAATTTCTACTCAAATATTTTGCCCATTTTTAATTGGGTTGTCATTTTATTGTTGACTTGTACAAATTGTTATATATTCTTGTTACTAGACTGTAACCATATAAATTATTTGCAGCCCTACCTGATTTGGCTCAGTGGATAGAACGTCAGCCTGTGGACTGAAGGGTCCCAGGTTCGATTCTGGTCAAGGGCACATGCCAGGGTTGTGGGCTTGATTCCCAGTAGGGGGCGTGCAGGAGGAGGCCAATCAATGATTCTCTGTCATCATTAATGTTTCCATCTCTCTCTCCCTCTCCATTCCTCTCTGAAATCAATTAAAAATATATTTTAAATATATTTTATTGATTTTTTTTTTACAGAGAGGAAGAGAGAGGGATAGAGAATTAGAAACATCGATGAGAGAGAATCATCAATCAGCTGCCTCTTGCACACCCCCCTACTGGGAATGTGCCCGCAACCAAGGTACATGCCCTTGACCGGAATCGAACCTGGGACCTTTCAGTCCGAAGGCCAACACTCTATCCACTGAGCCAAACCGGTTTTGGCTAAAAATATATTTTAAAAAATAAATAAATGATTTGCAAACAGAGGCATCTTAATGATCTTCTTTGCCACAGGTGTAAGTGAACACCTTCCACTCTTCCTTTTCCCCTTCCCAGAAACTCTCCCAGAATGCTTTTTGCAGAGGACAGATCCTAGAGCCATCCAGAATAAGAATATTGAAACAGTTTACATTGAATAACTTCAATAATCAAAGTATTGACACCAAAATAGTGGATTTTTAACAGGGAACGTACTGAAGATAGCAGGAGTTTATGACTAGAAAATTGACAGGTTGTCAGGAAGAAGTGTACTGTTCAAGATATTTTGTACAAGATATAAAAGAAAATATAAAAGAAATATCAATGCAAGTTTTAAAGAATCATAGTGTTTGCTCCTTGGTCTTAGTCCAATGTCATCATTATGATTCTATGTTATTTGGTATTTATTGATCTCCTACTGTATGTCAGGCACTGCTATATACTGATTGTTTAGTAATCAATTACAAATAGTCTCACCTCCTCATGTGGCTTTGTTTAGTGCAAGGGTGGCTAAATTTTTTTTTGTAAAGGGCTAGAGAGTAAATATTTTAGGCTTTGAGGGCCAAGAGGTAAAATCAAGATCATATAGGTACTTGTATAACAAGAGAGAGAACAAATTTCCACAAATATTTTATTGATGAAATTAAAAATATAATAATTGAGTATAAATTTTTGTAATACAGGTCCACTAATGATCAGATTGGCATTCTTTAATGGATGGGAATAACATTTCACTTACTTAGGGTTCAAAGTGAGTGTTCTCTGTCATCAAAATTACCTGCAATCTCAATACATCTTTAAAGGTTTTCAAATTGCTTCATATGACCAAACTGACATTTTTAAGAACCTAAGTTTTACTTTGTAATAAAGTTTATAACTTGATTTCTCAAGAGTCAACAAGCTGTATGCACCTGTCAATAAAGGTATTAAATACTTTTAAAAACACATTTGCAAATATTCATCTATTAATGCTTATCTGTAATGAGAGTTTGTGTATTTCATCTTTGAACAAATAGAACAAAAATAAGTACTATCAAATACTGATACCCATCCACAGGCAATTGATTTTAATTGATCATATTCATCTCTTAGAAGGCATTTTGAGAATTCAATTAGATTCTTCTTTTAATATTTGCCTTTAAGCATGTCATTACATTGCAGAGTAATCACCTCCAATTGAAATTTAGGTGGAAGCTCCTCAAATGAACAGATTAATTTTAAAATATAGAAAGTTCCTTTGCACTTTGCATCAAGGTTCGAAAAATGCCACTGGAACTGTAATTTGAGCTCAGAAAATATATCCACTGCAAATTTGTGTGGGAATACAAATCTTGATTTTTGTTTTAACTTTTTACAGCACAGAAGTGATTAAAATAACTTGACATTACTTTTGATTCAAACAATATTAGTAGTTGTCAATGAAATGAATTTACTGCAATATAATTTTCCACATATAAGCAGTGGTTTGCCTTGTAATTTGGGGTTAAATTCATTAAGTAACATTATCAAGTATAGAGTAAAAACTAATTTAAAAAAACTTTCAGTATTCAATAACAGTGGTTGAGAGTGAACCTTCTCATCCAGAAAATGTTCAGTCTCAGCCCTGAGCTTTTAAATAACTTTTTATAAAACCACTGCTAAGCTAGTAAACTGCAGTTTGTAGGGCAAGTCACAATATTCAGCTTTTATTTCTTTTTTTCTTTTTAAAATATATTTTATTGATTTTTTACCGAAAGGAAGAGAGAGGGATAGAAAGTTAGAAACATCGATGAGAGAGAATCATCGATCAGCTGCCTCTTGCACACTCCCTACTGGGGATGTGCCCGCAACCAAGGTACATGCCCTTGACCGGAATCGAACCCGGGACCCTTCAGTCCGCAGGCTGATGCTCTATCCACTGAGCCAAATCGGTTTCGGCTCAGCTTCTATTTCTGACAAAAAAATTAATGAAACTGACAATGGTTTAATTCATGAGAGTGAATAAAGTACGTTGTTGACACTAAGGGTTGAATAATACAAGAGAGATCCAAATATTTTCCTGCAAAGTACCTGCTGTTTAATAATGAAATGAATAATCATGAGATTTAAACAACTTACATTTTCTCAAGCTTTGTTCATTTGTCCAACTAAGCTGTTTTCTGCTCTGTGCATATTTGTAAATTACATTAGCAAATTCTACTTCGGGTTGTATTGAATCAGGGTTTTCTTGATTTCTTTGGAAATGTTCTCATTGGTAGTTGTTCCACACAGACTACCCATACAGGTCAATCCTTACATCACTTTAAACTCAGCATTGACTTTTGAGTAAACACCTGAGCAGTATTGGAAACATCTGTGAACTCATCAAGAGTTAAGGAAAACCACTTGAAATTATTTGCCCTGTTTATGTATTTATATTAATTTGAGGGGGAAGAAGGAGAGAGAGAGAGAGAGAGAGAGAGAGAGAGAGAGAGAGAGAGAGAGAGAGAGAGAGAGAGAGAGATTTCTTATTCCACTAATTTATGAATTCATTGGTTGAGTTTTGTATGGGCTCTGACTGTGGATCGAACCCACAAACTTGGTATATCAGGACGACACTCTAACCAACTAAGCTAACCATCCAGGGCTGCCCTGTTTTTTTTTGTTGTGTGCATGTGTGTGTGTGTGTGTGTGTGTGTGTGTGTGTGTGTGTGTGTGTTTAATGACTATTGATGTTGCTTCCAATGTCCTTCAGTATTTGGGTCACTGTTCTTGTTGAAAGGTTAATAGTCTTTAAAATGTTTATTTTCCCTGGACACGTTTCTTTGGCTTCTGCAATCAAACACAATTTAATTAACTGATGATCAGTAAATGGCCTGCCTTTCTTGGCTAACAAATAAGCCACTCAGAAACTCACTTTGGCCAAAGCCACATTTTCATCTTTTATTTTTGTGAAGAATTCTGCTATGA